GGCCATACTACTAGGAGCAAGGACGCTACTAGGGGCGGCCATACTACTAGGAGCAAGGACGCTACGCTACTAGGGGCTCCTGGCATCGCTACCAGGAGCAAGGACGCTACTAGGGGCTCCTGGCCATACTACTAGAAGCAAGGACGCTACTGGGGGCTCCTGGCATCGCTACTACTAGGAGCAGAGACGCTGCTAGGGGCTCCTGGCCATACATCGCTACTAGGAGCAAGGACTAGGGCCTTAGGAGCAAGGACGCTAGTACTAGGAGCAAGGACGCTACTAGGGGCTCCTGGCCATACCACTAGGAGCAAGGACGCTAGTAATGCTGATTGGGTCCTGTGATGTTCAGCTGGCTCAGAGATGAGTGGGTGCCATGGCCATGGTCACGGCGCATGCGTGGGCGTGTGATCACCAGAGATGAGCTGTGGCAACACCGGTGGCGGATTTGTCCAAAGGGTGTTGGCCAAAACTGCTGGGTGCCTGGGCGGAATGGTCTCGAACCTAGCGATGGCCTCCAACCTGGAAGCAATGTTTCAAGCTAACAAGACCTCCTTTGGACCATAAGACCTCTCCTTTGGTGATCAGAGACTCTGCAAGCCAGATGTTGTAGTAATAGGGAGAAGTTTTGCTAGGTATCTATCCGTGGCCTCGTGCTGCAGCTACCTGCAGAGCCACTCGTGCGCAGTCACGGGCAACACTGCTAGTTCGTAGAGTTTTTAGTGGACATTGCTTGCTGGGTCCGAGCAAACTTTGCAGAGTGCTGCAATTTTTTTGAACTTCAACAAAGAACGGACAATTTGACAAGTTGCTCCAACAATATTTGGAACGCAGTCCTCAATAGTCCCTCAAGACAAAGTTTTCCCTTGTGATGCAAGTGAAGCAATCAAGTCACCCGTGCCTTTTTCGTCTTTGCAAGAGACGTGATGGCTGTAAATCTCCAGACACCGCCATTATGACATTTCGTTTGTCCTGCACATCTTTACAAAAACTTTCAACACGCATTGGAAGGTTTACATCCACAATATGTTCAAAGCCACACATGTGATAGTCACGTTGCTGGAGGCATGCAACACCCAAAAGGACATGTTAGCGCCTCTCTATCTTCCTAAATAAACCCTTCCTAGAGGCCTTGGTTCTGCAATGCCAAGCACTAGCAACAGGCTTGAAGTTGAAGGCCATCGCTATTAGGTGGAGGCCATCGCTAATTAGGCATCACTATTAGGTGGAGGCCATCGCTCTTAGGTCGAGGCCATCGCTATTAGGGTGGAGCTCATCGCTCTTAGATTGGAGGCCATCGCTATTAGTTGGAGCCCATCGCTACTAGGTTGGAGGCCATTGCTCTTGGGTTGGAGGCCGTCCCTCTTAGGTTGGAGGCCGTCGCTCTTAGGTTGGAGGCCATCGCGCTTTGGTTAGAGACCATCGCGCTTAGGTTGGAGGCCGTCGCTCTTAGGTTGGAGGCCGTCGCTGTTAGCGTTGAGGCCATCGCTATTAGGTTGGAGGCCATCGCTCTTAGGTTGGAGGCCATCGCTCTTAGGTTGGAAGCCATCGCTCTTAGGTTGGAGGCCATGGCTCTTAGGTTGGAGGCCTTCGCTCTTAGGTTGGAGGCCGTCGCTCTTAGGTTGGAGGCCGTCGCTCTTTGGTTGAAGGCCGTCGCTCTTTGGTTGGGGGCCGTCGCTCTTAGGTTGGAGGCCATCTTCTTAGGTTGAAGGCCATCGCTCTTACAGGTTGGAGGCCGTAGCTCTTACTGTAAGTTGGAGGCCATCGCTCTTATAGGTTGGAGGCCATCGCTCTTAGGTTGGAGGCCATCGCTCTTAGGTTGGAGGCCGTCGCTCTTAGATTGGAGGCCATCGCTTCTCAGGTTGGAGGCCATCGCTTCTTAGGTTGGAGGCCATGGCTCTTAGGTTGGAGGCCATCGCTCTTAATCGGTTGGAGGCCATCGCTTCTTAGGTTGGAGGCCATCGCTTCTTA